TTGGAGGAGAGTGGAAACCCTATCAGCATTTCTTGATATTTCAGTCTCCTGCCCTGAATTTTGGGGTTCTTAGAGATATGTTTTATTTGTTTTTCTCAACAAACACTATCCTGTGTTTTCCTGGGTATTGTGTGACCTGGCGAAATTTGCCACATTTCTTTAAACACTGAATGTGGGGCTGCTATCTAAGAGAGCCAATTACGAGTTGAATTTGTTTCTCTGGGCCATGAAATTTCTCTCTGTACCACCAGCCCAGGTGACTGAGTTTCTAATAAGCTTCACACTTGAACCCTGGCAAGTTACATCTTGACCTTCCAGATCATGATTTAAAATCCCAAAATGCTCAACTCTCAATGTTAGAGATATACATTTTAAATGACAGATTTGTCAAGAAACTTTAATTAGCAGGATTTTTTAATGGACACAAAATGTTTTTGACATCATTTTGCTAAAATTTGGGGCCTTTAGTCTGTTACTCTGAAATTTTCAACAAAGTATTTTACATCTCTCATGATATTCTTATGAACGGTATGGAGAAATACAGCTGAGATGATAGTGAAGTTGGAGGGATTTATAAATTTTGAGCAACTATTCCCAAGTGGTAGTAATTAAAATGAAAATCTAGCAATACTTCTCCTTCTCACAGATCTATTTTTACATTTTTATCATTAGAAGCTTTTTAAACATTGCTAAATTTGGCATTTCTATAACTTTCCATCCTCAAGACCATCTAGTTTTATAATTCTGAACCTCAGAACTTAATACATAAATGGTGAAATTTCTCTCAGTGAAGGCCCCACAATGGCACATGAGGAAGAATTTCACTGTGTATGTTTGGAATAGAGAAAAGAGGTGAGAGAATTGAGTTATTGCATGCCACTTGTCAACTCATGTATTCATTCTCTCTGCAAACAGTATTTGGCACCCGGTGCCTACTTTGGCCTAGACACTGCTCAGGAAGTGCAGATAGAAGAGTAAACAAAACAGACCAAAGTCTCCAGTGGGTGTGGTGGGGAGGTTGTATGTTGATTAAATTAGTATGTAAAGGGAGGCTAACATTGGATAGCGCACTATGGAAACAAAATTGGCAAACTGAAACTATGGGCCAAATTTGAAAAGATTATAAATCCTAAAAACGTGGTTAAAAAACAAAAGCTTCAGAGATAAAATGTGGGGAGAGAATGGTACTCTACTTACATTCATGGAAAAGACTTAGGAGCATTTGTTGAGTATGAGCTCAATATAAAGTGATACTGAGATGTGGGGTCCCCCAAAATTAAAACTGTTTTTAATGCTTCAATAATATAAGGAGCCCAAAGCAGAGAGCATAAATCCTACCTTACTCTTCCCCATCAGTGCATTCACGAGTATCATCTGTTCTTTGGGACCACATGTGGTTTCACTAAGAAAGAGGGGCTGACTAGTGAACCAAGTGAAAATATTTTCATAGGTGATCTCATATGGAAGTAGAATTAAATTTTTTCTGTGAGATTTAGGATTGCAGAACCAGGTGGGATTAAGAACTAGAAGTTATGGAAGGGCCCAATGTAGCAAAGAACATTCTAGTATTTGTGTCCACAAGTTGAATGGACCGATTGTTGAATATCTCCAGAGTATGTCCAAGCAGATGTCAGGGTTATTATGGGGAAAATTATTCATTGCACCAGGGGTTAGACTAAATGACTCAGAGACTCTGTCCACGTCCAAGAGTCTATGAATTTAAATGCAAAAAATGTGCCACAATGAGATAAATCTTTCAGGAATAATTGAGAGGTAACTATAAAAATGACTGTTAAACACAAAATATGTCATCTTAAGGTTTTCTTTTGCAGATGGCATCTTATTTTGGATATACTGTTGCAGTATCAGATGTTAACAATGATGGGTAAGTTTATAAGATCTCCCTCACTCACTGTATATTATATTCATCCACAAAAATGTTACATTTTTCATTTGTGCAATATATCCTTACATGCTTTCTCAAGATAGAGGCCCTCTTGTTTTAATTTTTTTTGCTCAGGACAAGAGGGTATGTCTATTAAAGAATTCTTTGTCATCCTATTTTATGTCTTTACTGATATTTTCCACATCTGTCACTTCTAATAGAAGACAATTAATTAAATAT